TTAGGTTTTAGTTACCAATGTTTAACTTAAATAAATTTCCTTTTAACATTGTATTTTTATTGCACTTTGAAACGACTTAAAACTTTAGTTTTTTTTTGGTCACATATATAGCAATTTTACTTTTAGTTTCTTTTCCTTTTCAGACAATATAATTTTTTTTTTCTTGAACTTTTATTTGAAATTCCAACCGCTTGCATTATATTATAAAAATCTTAACTTTTTAAAACTTCTTTTTTTTTTAATTTGAAAATATATTCATTGACTTTGTTTTTTGAAAATCTATTTTTAATTTTTTCCCATTAAGACATCATACTATTTTTTTATACTAAGACAATAGATATTACCATTTTGTGATCTTTTTTTAAAACATCTTACATTTTTTTTTGTTATTGAGACAAAAGACTTTGAAAACAAACCGGTTTTATACTCTGTTATACTTTTAAAATCAAACCAATTTTTTGCTATAAAAACAATGTATGTTTATTATCGTTTGTGTTAAGCCACTTTGATAATTCAACATATTAAAACATTGCAGTTTGAAAATCTGAAGTTGTTTTTGCTTACTAAATTTACCATTCTTTCTTATGTTTTTCCTATTAGACAGTTGTAAATAAAATATTTTTTCTTATAAAGACATTGCAGTTTCAAAACCTATCTAATAAGGCATTGTACTTTTACTTTTTTTGCTATTTACAAATAAAACATTATTCTTTGAAATATAAACTAGTTTGATTTTGGTCACCACTCACCAGTAATAGAATTATACTTTTTTTTTTTTTCCTGTATTAGGAAATTGTAATATTTTTCCTATTAAGATATTGTTCTTTAAATATTTAAACCAATTATAACTTTATATATTCATTTAATATTTTTCCTATCAATTACAGATTATACCATTTTATATTCTATTTTTCTATTAAGAGATTGTACTTTTAATAGTTTTTGTATTAAGTCGGTATACCTTTTAGCTCTCATATGTTTATCTTTTTTGTTACCAATTATAGTGTTGGAAACTCAATATTCTTAAATTTAAAAAATTGAACTTTTATTTATTTTGTATTAAGACGTTGTATTTTCTGATAATCAAAGTAGTTATAGTGTTAAACTTTCAAAATCTAACATTAAAATGTTATACTAATATATTTTTTTTATCAAAGCCTTCCACTTAAAATCTGTACAGGTTTTGTTTTGGTTAACAAACTACAACATTATATTTTTGATTTTTTCGATTAAAATTTTGTACTTTTAATAATTTTTCTACGGCATTTTACTTTAAAAGGTAACCACATATATTTTTTTTTTTACTTTTAATATTTTTCCTATTTAAGACATTGACATTGTAAAGGTAAAACATACTTTTTTTTTTCATTTAAGACATTGCATTTTGAACATTTAGCATATTAAAACATTGTACTATGTTTTTTTCTATAAAGATATCTTATTTTGAAATTTTAATAACATTATACTTTTAAAATCCAACACATTAACACATTATAGTATTAGTTTTTCTTCTTATCAAGACATTGTACATTTATTTATTTATTTTCTTTAAGATATTGCATTTTCGAAATCTAACCATCTGTAGCTTTATTCTTTCAAAATTTAATCTATTAACATTTTACTATACTTTCAAAATCTTATTTTTAAGAAATTGTTTTTTTTAGATCTGAATTTATTTGATTTTTTTAAGACATTGTACATTGTTTTTTTAAGAAATTGTTTTTTAGATCTGAAATCTTATTTTTAGAAATTATTTTTTCAAAATCTTATTTTTCATTACCACATTTTCCTTTTCAGACACTAATTTGAAAATCAAAGCAGAGCATTATACTTCCAAAATCTAATGTATTAAGACATTGTACATTTACGTATTTGTCTATTATTACTTTGTACTTTCTCAATCTCTATGTGTTCTATCTTGCTTAACATGTGTAGTTAATATACTTGAAAATTTTCTTCCCTATTAAGACATTGAATTTCTAATTGTTTTATATTATGACATTGTACTCAACATAATAAGATATTGTATCTCTTTTAATAATAAAATAATGTACTTTTTCATAGTTTTCTAATAAAATATTTTATTTTTAGTAATAAGTTGTACTTTAAATATCCAACCAATTATAACATTGTATTTTTTTCATTACCACATTTACAGTCAATCTAATAGAACATTTTTTTTTTCTGTTGGGACATTTTTTTACTTATGAAAATCTGAATTTGTACTTTGAATCAAGACATTGTACTTTGAAAATCTAACAGATTATAGCATCATACTCAATATTTTCCTATTAAGATATTTTTTTTCTTATTAAGATTTTTTAATAAAATCTAACCTACTATTGACATTATGTTTTCAATTTATAACATACAAAGACTTCCAACTTTTTTTCCTATCAAGAAATTTTAACTATAATAAGTTCTATTAAAAAGTTATACTTTGAAAATCTAACTTTTTGGACATTTTTTTATTGTTTTTAATCCAAAGACTTTATACTTTGAGAATCTGAGCTTTGAATATGGTTGCCTCTTATATCATCATACTTCAATTATTTCGTGTTAAAACATTATACTTTAATTTTTCTTATTTAAGTATGTTAAAAATTATAATACTTTCAAAGTCTACTTGTTTGATTTTGGTCACCATTCATAATATTATATTTTCTATTTATTTAGACGTTCCTCTCATAATTGTTTTCATAATTGTACTTTGAAAATTTAAACTTTCATTTTACTTTCAGTTATCCATACTATTTATACGTTCTACTTTTATTTTATTTGCTATTAAGACATTATACTTCTATTTTGCATTTCTATTTAGACATTAATTAATATTCTACTTTTATTTTCTACATTTCAGATGGTTTATCTCTAATTATTCTAACATGTAATCAATTTCCAAGTATGAGCATTATGAATTTACCATATACGTTTCAGATCTCATATTAGGACACTATTTTGAAAATCTAACCAGTTTACCTATTAAGATGTATATTTTTTTTTACCTAATTTTGTACTTTGATAACTTAAACATGTTTGATTTTGGTTACCACTTCTTGCATGTTTAAATATTTTTTCCTTATAAAAATGTTGTACTATGAAAATTATGCCCAATCATAACACTATACTTTTAACTTATTAAGATATACTTTTATTTACTTTCCTATTAAGACTTTGTTCATTGAAAATCTTAACTTGTTTGATTTTAGTTCTATACATAGTTATATATATTTTAAATTTCTTTCCCTATTAAGACATTGAATTTTTAATCTTTTTCTTTAGAGACATTGTATTTGAAAATGTAATTATATACATTTTCAACATTCTACTTTCAATTATAATATTGTACTTTCAAAACCCAGTTGTAACGTTGTACTTTTCATTAATACTATTTACACTCAAAATCTAACATATTAAGACATCATACTTTTTAAAAACAAATTAGGACATTTTACTTTAAAAATCTAAATTTTTTTTGTTTTGGTTTACCAATTATGGCATTATAATTGTTTTCTCCTATTAAGATAGGACACTTTAGTTAAGAGATTATACTTTGAATTGTTTCCTTTTATCAAGATAGTGCACTTTGATTAAAACATTGTACTTTCAAAATATAGCAAAATATATTATATAAATGAGCATTGTTTTTCTTATAAAGACACTGCAGTTCGAAAACTTATCTAATAATAGCATTGTTTTTTTTCAAATCAAATAGAGCATTAATAGTTTTATTTAAAGCTTTGGACTTTAAATTACTAACATGTTATGACATTGTACTTTTACAATTAGGTGATTGTTCTTTAAAAATTTAAACCAATTAAAACATTATATATTCATCTATAGCCAGCTTTATAGTTTTCATATTAAGTCAGTATAACTTTTAGCTCTCATATGTTTATTTTTGGTTTTGGTTATCAAAGTAAAACTTTATAGTTTCAATTTTTTCGATTAAGATTTTGTATCTTTAATAGTTTTCCAACAACATTGTACTTTAAAATATAACCAACCACATATATTCTTCTACTTCTAATACTTTCCTATTTAAGACATTGGCATTGTGAACGTAAAACATTCATTTTTTTTTCATTTAAGACATTGCACTTTGAAAATTTAGCATATTAAAACATTGTATGGATGTTTTTGTTTCTATTAAGACTTTGTACTTTCTTGATCTATATGTGTTCTATGTTGTTTAGCATCCATAGTTTACTTGAAGTTCTAGTTGTTTTCTATTAAGACATTGTACTTTAAAAAGCTAGTTATATACAACATTATACTTTCAATTATGACATTGTATTTTTTTTCATAGTTTTCTAATGAAACATTGTTTTTTTTAATAATACATTGTACTTTGAAAATCCAAGTACTTGTAACCTTGTATTTTTCATTACAACATTTTACACTCAAAATCTAATAGAACATTCTATTTTTTTTTTTTTTTTTTTCAGTTAGGACATTTTTATGTATGAAAATCTGAATTTGTTTTGTCTTGTTTATGAAACTTTAGCATTATTGTTTACTTCTATTTTTGCACTTTAGTTATGAAACAAATTCCAACTGCTACAACCCGTTTCTTTGTTCTTACATTGTTAAAGAATATGAAGGTAAAATAATCTCATAATTACACAAACACTAAAGCTAAAGGATTCTCAACTGCTTGCATTATTAAACTCTTAAATCAAGTAGTAATAATTGAATTTCCAATAATTAATTAATCAACTATGATTAAAATTGTTCTTAGGTTATTATGATTGTTGTTTTGTAAGGTCTTGAGGCTATCAATTTGGCTTGAAAATCTACCATTTTCACTTCTTCTTAAAGTACATAGCTATTAAACTTACCAATTATAGTATCTTTCATTTTATTTGATTTTAAAGGATTTCACTTTGATGAAAAGGGCGATGGACGCACATACAGAAAAAGAGAGGCTTGCCATCTCGGATGTTGGCTGAACATGAGAGAGCCTTCTACCATTAAACCAATTTTTTACGTCTCCATGATTTTAGTTTTTATTTATATAATCATCTCTTTTGGTGATTGGTGCAAGTATGCTAGATATTTAACCATCAGTCACACTCCAACAAACTTCTTTCAAAGAAAAACGACCCTTATATGTATATGTGATCAGGATTCTGTTCAAGAACCATTTCTTTTGGGAAAGTAAATAGCTATGTGCATAGATCGATAAAAAGGTGAAAGTATGTTCTGTTTTTTATTTCAATTAAGACATAAAACACTTTTATTGTTAAATCAATAGACTAATTATAACAGTAGGTTGTTTTTTTTTTTTTTTTTTTTTTTGGATTCTACTCAATATTTTAATGCTACAGGTGTTGATTAACATTTATGCAGGAAAAATAAACTGATCACAAGTTGTTACGTTGCCTCCCTTATTCTGGATCACGAGGCGTCTACTTCACTCACCCTTTGTGGTTTTTGTTTACAAATTCCTTAAAGCCATACTGGTAGGCTTTCGTTTTTTTTTTTTTTTTATTTTATTTTTTATTTCTTTATTATTGTAGTGTATGCTGATTTCGTGAACCTACCAAATCAGCAATGTATCCGAACGTAATATAAACCGCTAATGATTGCAACCTCTATTCTTACTTTTTTTTTGTTTTTAAGCATTGTATATTCAGAGTCAACCATTTATAACGCCCTTCTTTCATGGCCTCTTCACGAGTTATCTATTAAGACATTTTATTTTGAAAATGTAACAGATTATAGCAGTATACCCTCAATATTTTCCATATTTTCCATATTATAGCAGTATACCCTCAATATTTTCCATATTAAGGTATTCTTTTATTTTTTTCTTCTTATTAAGATGTACTTATAAAATCTATAATATGTTCTATTAAAACACTGCAGTTTTAAAAATCGAACTCATTGTACTTTGAAATCTAAACATGTTCTATTTTGTTGCCAAAAATAGCATTTTTATTCCTTTTTTATCCAAGAAGACATTGCACATTATATATATAAACTTTTATAGCATTATTTTTTTTACATTAAACCTATTAAGATACTACAAAATTCTTACATTGTTTGATATCATACTGTCTTTACCATTGTGTTATAGCATTATTAATATATATATGTGTATATATATATATATATATATATATATATATATATATATATATATATATGTATGTATATTAAAGAAATGAAAGTTAGGAACAGAGAACTCATGGTATTTTGGGTAGATTCGGTACTTTCTTTTTCATGGTTTGTTATCTTCTGGATTTTTTACTGACTATTCTATTTTGGGTAGTTTATGACATTTTATCGATTCTTGATAGGCACGTGTTCGTTCACCGTTTTTCCACCCTATCAGCATTGTATTTCAATTTTGAACAACAGATGGTAGGGCATTGTTGCTCCTAGTACGCGACACCATCTCCTTCTTTCCTTTTTTTACCTTTTTGATTTTTTTGCTTTTCATATTTTGTACCCTAATCTTGCAATTTTATAAAAAATGGTAGCCCTGTACTAATATGCCGAAATACACAACAGATCGATTAGGTAAATCCCACTGACCTCACTGCATCATCTTTTGGTTTTGGTTGTTTTCGATTTTGAATCATTATCATGTTAGTTTCGTTCATATTTTGGTTGGGGCTATTTTCAAGAAAAACAAACGATTACAAAAACCAACTTCAGAAATTAATGGTCATGATTTGCAACAAGAAAAACAAACCCAACTATACCCTGCTAATAAGCTTTCAATTTTAAAGGGTCCCAAAACAAGCCAAGAATGCATTGGAGAATTGAACTTCCTTAACAATTTACTTATTGAAATATTGACTATAATAGTTTAATGGTTATTTTACCAATTTTGTTGTTGTTTTTTTCAGCAGTGTCATTTGAAAAACACACTCAGTTTGTTCATCTGTCATATTGTGTTAATAGGTATGTTAGATTCTCTCTAAAATTTTCAGACACATACATTAGGGCATCAATAGAAAAGGTTGTAAAGCCCAGATCTTCTTACAATAGTTCACACCTCATTTCTTATTTTTCAGTTGTTCATACAGGTGGATATCCTTTCTATTTGTTTCTAATTTTGGTTACTTTGATTTTTTTTTTCCTACTTCTCATTTGCAGGCCAGCTGTTAGATGAAATGCCTTATTGAGACATACATAAGAACATCTGATTTTAAGGTTGTTTAATTAGGCTTCTCTCAATTTGATATGATATGCAGACCATGGGGGCTTTCTAAAATGTTTTGTTTGTTAGGGTGGTTAGCAATTCTAAATTCCAAGGCAATTCCTTTCCTTCTCCATTTTTTTTTCTTGTATGTTGCATTGTTGTGTACTCATTCATCTTATCACTTTTGTAATTACTCTTAAAAAGTTTTCTTGGTTGATGGATGTTGGAAGACTGTCGATAGGATATGGAATTGGGGTTCTCTACTATGTGGTAATTGCAACAATTTCTGAAATGTTTTGTTCTATATTGTTCTTTGTAACATTACAAATGTGTCAAATTTGAATAACAAACAGGTACCAGTTTACATAGCAGAAATACAACCTCAAAACCTTCATGGAGCATTTACCACTGTTAATCAGGTAATAAAAAAAGCAGTAAATATTTTCACTACTCCAGATTCATCCTTATGGGGTAATAAAAAGCTGTAAAAAGCTGTTAATCACTACACCATTTATAGTTGATGATATGCATTTGAGTATCTGTAATGTGGCTTCTGGGAACTTTCATTCCTTGGCGAACACAAATCAGTTTGGGTTTAGGGGCGATGCAAAGGTGAACATGTGAGAAGTCTGGTGATTAATTTCATTTGGGATTTTAGTGGTCTGCACCATTTTTTGTTGTTTATTATGATTTTCATTTTGGATTAATTTCACTACGTGATTTGAGATACTATTTTATTCAATGTTGCTGATTTTTTCCATTTACTTGCAGCTCTCATTGAAAGCAGTACACCATATTCTCTTCCTTTCTCTCTATACACAAAACTTTTGTTATTTCTTATTTCCAGTTCCTGCTGTTACCTTAATTGACTTTTTGTTCATGTGATGTATGCAGATTTACCAGCTATTGCCCTAATGTTTAAGATTTCAGAGGAAATCAAACCAGATTACAATCAATGTCGACACCTAAGAAGTCGTATTTTTTAATCATAGAACTTGCAGCAACATAACATCAAATTCAATGGAATTGCAGGAACTTGCTTTTACTTCTTCAAGTACAAGTAATCTGTTATTTCTGCATTTAATTTTGGTTAAATAGCAACCTACTTTCATAACTATGTCAATTGTTTCATCCTCCTGTTATAATGTTATACTTCAACATTGATTCCGATCCACATGCACCATTTCTAGTATTTTTTTTTGTATTAAGATGTTATTTGATAATCTAACTAGTATTATAAATTTAGTTAGTCTAAACAACTAAGACATTGTAATAATTGTTTATCATATTATGACATTTTACTATCAAAGTTATACATCATCTTAATTAGGAAAAAAAATTTGAAGTATAAAAATGTTACTTGTTTAAGCAATATACATTGAATTTTGTTTCCTAATTGATAATGTAGTTTTAGAACATCTTAATTATAGAAATATTTGTTTTTAATTTTTGGGGGGTGATTTTGGGTTTTTGTTCTTAATTTTTCAAAACATCTTAATAGAAATATTTGATGATGTCTTCAATGTAATCAAGAATCATGGACTCTCCCACTTAACAAAATCATTCGCTCTGATACTTGTGGTAAGTTTCTCTTCATAATTACAATTTCTTGATGAAACATTTCCAGCCCTTTTTATGTGTTCTTTTTGCAATTCCTTACTTAAAAATACCATTTTCATAACTTTATGGTGCTCTTTTTGCAATTCCTTACTTAAAAATACCATTTTATATGGATTTGAATTTTCAGTTGTTCAAAAGTCTTCGGTTTTTATTTTCAAAATTCAAGAACTTTTTTAACCAAGTTTCAAGAATAGTAGAAATAGAAGAAATGTTGATTTTATGAAGATGTCAAAGGTTCTTGCATGCATTTTTACTTTGTTTCCCCTGAGATAACTGATTTTATTGATGAAGATGATGGTTGAGTTTATTATATACACAAAGCTTTTAGTAACTCTTCCAACAAAGTGACTTTCCCTCAGAAACAAAGTGATTTTGAATATTTTTAGATATATGACCTAAATTGATAGGGTTGAAGGATGGTAACTTGGTGTTTAATAATGAAGGAGAAGGAAATGTGGATTCGGTTGAAAAGAAAATAATTTATTTTTTGATAGATTGTCGGAAATTTACTTGATCTGAAGGGGTCTAGGATGCATTTTGTTACTGGGAATATTAATTTGAAGATGTAGGGAGATTGAAGGTCTTTTTGGCTTGTAATTTTAGTATTATAGGCTTTTCTGAAATAAATGAGTCAATAAAAATAGAAAAAATATTATAGGTGTAATAAAATAAGCATAGGGCACAAAAAAAGTATGGTGGAAATTAAAAATAGAAGATCCAAATTGAAGAATTATAGAGTTTTGAAAGCTCTAGTGTAAAATTTAGATTAAAGATCAAAATGTTATTTTTGGGATATGTCAATTTTTATAGGTTTGTTCTCATTATAAGAGGGTATTTTGATCATTTTATGGATGATAAATTTGGTGTAACAAAAATGCTAATCCTAATTGTGTTAGTCAATGAAGGTGTAAGTTGATTAAAATCAAACGGAGCAATTAAGGTTTTTTACTGTGATGATGAGGAACATTATATATGAGGCCTCAAAGTGAGGCTGCACTTTATGCATTAATGATTTATTTGCAAATGAGAAATGTAGATTGAATATGGTATGTTTTTGGTTCTCATGTGATTTAAGATGGATCTTTTTCAATGCAAAAGACTGTTTTTATGAAACTTTAATTTATTTATTTGTGATTTAAGTTTCTGTATGCAATATACAATGTGTATGGTTATGCTTGTGTGTTACAACACAACGTACTTTGATTTGCTTACCTTATCAAGGCATTGAAGTTCAACATTTGTCCCAAAAAATGATGAATTCTACTATTTCCACAACTATTTATTTAATTTATTATTTTGAGGTAGTTCTAGCATATTGGAAAATATCAAAAAACTGGGATGTTGGTTAGATTTTGATGTTTATAAACTCTTTAATAAAATCGAAAAGAATAATTTTTGTTAATATGTTAAAGAATCCAAAATCCGAATACAAAACCAGTACAAGGATGAAATTGGTATATAACTTTAAAATAAGGACAAAAATTAGAAATGACGAGAATTGAAAATTATCAATTTAGAACTAAACACCGTCAAAACTATAAAATATTAGGACCATTTTTGTACTTTAATATTTTGTTTTTACTTTAATATTTTTTTTTTTCTATTTTTATCGTTTTGTGTTAATGCATTATTATTATAAATAAAACAATGTTAACTAGAAAAGATTCCGTCTTGCTGCGAGGGTTGGAGGGTATTTGTTCTTAAAGTACGTTGCTGCATTTTATTTATTTATGTACGGATGAGGATTTCATTACATACATGAAAACGTACACATGCTTGCCAAAACCAACGGGAAGTTTCCTCAGCTATGTAAGTTGGCCATTACTACAAAAGAAAATACACCAGTCTCGACCAAATTAACCAAATTTTTACTGGTTAGTTTCCAATCATTGATTCAAACTCACCATACAATTGGTGGCCTTCTCGTGCAGTATATTAGTAAGTACACTACTAAGAAACTAAGAGATCAAAATTCAAAAAAATAATTGGTACTGTTACTCTTTTATCAAAAAAATATTTAAAAAAAAAAGATTAGTTTTAGTAAAGGACTGAACTTATATGAGCAAAACTTACACACAGTCAACATTAGTGTTAAAGTTCAAATTTCAGAAAGAAAAAAAAAAATTGTCCATGTTACTCATTTATCAAAGAAAAAAGTTAAAAAAAAAAAAGATTAAACTTTTTATTTTGTATCAAAATACCCTTTTGTTTTAGGCATTTCAGAACCACTTGAATCTTGTTTGCATTTTCATTGTGTTTAACTTCGTTTTTTTATGACTTTCTGGTTTTTGGTAACCATTGTCTTTTGGTATTATGTATTATGTTTTTTTTTTTTTTTTTTATCTATGTGTATGTATTTTAATTGTTTTTCTGCTGATCATTAATTATTGTTTTCAGTTTTTGTAACTTCATTGGTTTCTATTTCAACTGTTGATTGGTTTTGGTAGTGTCCCCTGCTTTTTTTTTGTTATTATCGATTACTTCAACATAATTTAACAAATTCTTTTTAATAATTTTTTTTGGAACGTAATGAATATAATAGCAAAACAGTATCCATGTTTCTACTGAGTTTCAAGCTTTTACCGTGTTTATATATATATATATATATATATATATATATATATATATATATATATATATATATATATATATCTTTATTTGGTACCATCAAACTCAATATTTATTAGTTTTTTAACTGTTTCTGTTATATTTTTTGCAGGTCTACATATTGCTTGAATCTTCTATGTTCTGTTTAAAGTTGATGTTTTTGAATAGTTTTTGGATTGTATGATGCTTATTGCCATGCACATGGTGCATGTATGTGGTATCAGGTTGCTTAAGAAAAGTAAAAAAAAATATCTATTTTTAATCAATTTTATGTTACTTTAGCAAACATGATAGATGGTTGTACATAGTTACCTCATCTAGTATGCAGTTTTTGTTGACATATGAGGTTAAATATGTACCTTCACCCATTTTTGAAAGAAATTACACATTTTATTATTGCTTATTGCGGTACCGGAAGAAAAGAAAAAGGTAAATCTCACGAAAGCATATGAAACATAACTGAAATAGCAAAAGCCAAAAGGTAGTAAAATATCAACCAATTAAAAACTATCTGTCAACTTAGATGGGGAAATAATTTTTTATACCTTCATTCCACATGGGGAAAATAAGCCACAACAAAGAACCAATACCACCAAACACAATTTTAGCTAATAGGAAGGAAGCACAGTTCAAAAGATACTGCCTTAATTAATCCATCAACAACAACACCAGATGATGGAATTGGGCATCTCAAAGTCAAACAATCAGGAGTATCATTGATAGATGTGCTAATGTAAGCTACAACAATCAATAAAAATGTTAAAAAAACAGAAATCGGTAATTCAGTGTACCAATTACAAAAACGTTAAAAAAACAGAAATCAGTAATTCAATGTAATAATTATAAACTTATAAGTTATAAGTGTATAATGAAACAAAAACAATGAGCATTATATGATTCAAAGTAAATCCCACTAGGTAGCTTCAAATGATATAAGGATTAAAAATATTCGCTAAAAGTCTGAAACTTTAAGTTATTTACTATTTTACCCTAACTTTCCTCTTCATCTTTTGGTGGCTTGATATTGGTATTATCCAACATGCCAATAGGTTTACGAACTGCAACTTCATTGGCAAACCATGCTTCATGAACATTTCTTACATTCCTGCAGTGTTAGAGAGCAACTGATTAAATAGAAAAAATTGAAAATTTTGATACAGACCAATTTGTTATTCACAAAAATTAAACCCAACCTGGTACTACACATCGGAATGATGCAGTCAACTCCTTCCGTCACCATCTTCTTTCTTGCCTCCTCTATTGGCTTCCTTTTCTCTGGAACGCCTTCTATATCGACGAATCGGTTCTTAGTTCCATTTTTTGAAATATCAAATTTGGGTTTGTCACACGTTGTACTCAGGTTCGCTCTCTTTCTGTGCCTCTTTCGTCCCGATTGTTACAGATAGAGATGGTAATTTGTAATATGAATTTTGTGGGTTCGTTGTCGTACTGAGGAATTCCGAAGCTATCAATGGAACTGCCAGTCCGGTGCGACCGGGGCAATTATCCGTATGTCGTCATCGGAGGCATGATGGAGAGGAGGGAAAATCGAATCTAAGGCGGTGGAAGTCAGATAGGTTTGAGAGATGAAATTGAAAGTAGTAATAGATGAAACAGTGGAGAAAAGTTCTAGAAGTTGAAACAGTCCAATAACAACCATCTACTGTCAGATACATTGAATGAGGGAA